AAAATTTAATTTTAATGTATCTTGTCATAACCATAGGTAAGGAACATAGTGCTCCTGTGGCGTTATCCATTCAACAAATATTGAGTATCTGAGTGCCTGTGTGTGTGCCAGGCACTGTTATAAGTGCTGGGGATAGAGTGATGAACAAAAAAGCCAAACGCCTGCCTTCATGGAACTTACATCAATGAGATTAGACAGTGGTGAATAGATAAAAAAGGGAATTTGGTAATTTTAAGTAGCATAATACTATAAACAAATAAAATAGCGTAATGGCATAGGGACAGATGGGAAGAGCTAACTTTTAGCACAGCTCCTATAACAGAAAGCCTTTCCTGATTGTCACTTGCCACTTCTTTCTCCCATCCCAGACCCTGACCTCAACTAAGAAGGTCAGGAAAAGCCTCTGTTTGAGCTGAGACTTTTGAGCTGGGACCTGAATAATGAGAATGAACCAGAAGAGCATCCCAGGCCTAAGGAAGAGTAATTACTGTAGCCTGAGGGAACAATAAGTTTGGCATGTACGCTAGATTAAAAGAAAGCCAATGTGGCTGGAGAGTAGTGAGAGAAAGGAGGGGTACAAGGCAGAGCCAGAGATTGCTGGGCTTGGTAGGCCAAGGTAAAGATTTGGGATTTTATTCCAACTGCAGTGGAGAAGTCATTGAGGGTTTTTAGCAAATGAGAGATAGCATGAGATAGGATCTCACTTAACGTTATAAAATGATCACTCCAGTTGAAGTATGGAGAATGGATGCAAGTTGAAGTATGGAGAATGGTCAGAGTAGCAGCAGAGAGGTCAGGCAGGCGGCACTACATGACCCAACCCTCTCCTTGCCATATTAAATCAACAGTCACAGAGAGGAGCCAGGCTGGTCATCAGAGGTCTGTGGTCAACCTTGTCTGCCGTGGAATTAGGTCTTCTGATGTAAGTGAATCCAAGGAATAACAAGACAAATTATGTCGGAATATTCCTCTACTATTTGGATGCCTTTAACTGATCTTTGAAAGAAAGATTTTAAACCCTGTGGAACTAGCCGTTGTTGGGTAGAACGCAGGTGGTCTGCAGAGCTCAAGGACCTTCCTCAGTATCTCTGCTTAGGATAAAGACATTGAAGCTGTCTATTGCTCGGTTGATTCTCCTCTCCAATTACCTACTTAAGGGTTGTTGTCACCTCTCCTTCTGGAGTTCCACTATTAACTCCTGAATGGGGGGTCCTATCTGCATCTAATCCAATCTCCACACTATAATGAGAATGATGTTTCTAAAAAATTGAGCTTAAAGTCCATTAATGGTCTCCCCATCCTCTTGCCGTCAGGAGAAGGTCCAGCTCTTTTCATGGCATGAACCAGTCCCTGCGTAACTCTCCAGAGCTCTTGCTCATTCATCCAGTCCAGGTCTTGCTCTGTCTTCCAGATAAATCTTCAGTTTCCCAAATGGAAATGCTTATGCACAGGCCTGAAACACCCTTCTACAAATTTGTGGCTAACTTCTTTGTTAGCTCCTAAAATAAGAAGCCTTTTCTGATTGGCATTTGCCAATATCTGAAATTATCCCAGACCCCCACCTCTCTCCCCACCCTTGCCAGCCCCAAGCTGCATTCCTTGCCTCACTCCTATGTCCTCGTAACCCCCTGTTTACCTCTTTCCCATAGCTCTCAGAACTCAGGATTATATATGTTCCTATTTCTCCCATCATAGCGTAAGCAACCTGAAAAGTGGGACCATGTCTTTTTCTTCTTTATATTTCATCTCCTAGCCCCACGTTTAGAACCCAGCAGGCACTCCTTATATGTTTGTTGAATGAATAAACAGGAGAATAAACGTGAATGGACTGGAAGATGCTGTGCAGAAGGTAAACGTGGTAGATCTGACAGCTTATGTGGGCTCAACAGTTACCCTTGCCCTGCCCACAGCCTCACACTGCTCCCTACAGTCTAGCCAGCCACGTTGCAAACGTGGGCTATTAACTCCAACAAAGGGAACTAGGGAAGAGCCAACCACAAGCCCACGTCTAGAAAAAAACAAATCAAAGTGCTGATGGCCAGAGCTGGTCACCCGTGCTTCTGTGGAGCAGCACACTATGCTCTGCAGTTACAGAGAAACTTGTGGAGTCTGTTCTCAGAGAGAAACACTGACATCATGGCTGTAAGGGTGGGCAGTGGGCAGCCTCCCCAGAGCCATTAAACCCAACCACTTTAAAGACTGTGTCTAAGGGCAGAAAATAAGTAAGGGACAGGGCAGGGACCCTCTTCCTTCACTCCCAGCCAGCTGGGGGCCATCTGATTGCGCTGTGCATCATGTAGCTCACTCCACTCCACTCAGCATTCAGTCTCCAGATGCTTAACACAAACCAATTTCTGAGCAACTCTTCCAGTGAGTGCCCTGGTCCTGTTGCTCTCACAATTACATCTATAAACACTTAAACATGAGACATTTCAGCGTACCAATCACTTGGCATTGCTTTCCTCTTTGTAATCACCACAGCCTGTGCTAAAAAAAAAAAGAAAAAAAAAAAAAGGCTCTTCCTCTGGCCAGTTTTGTTCATGGTCTTAAAATGTCTGCCTTAGGGGAAAAAAATTACTACGATGATCTATGTTAGGGTTAAAAGTGAGTTTCTGATGATATTAGATGGCATGACATCCATCTGAAATAAGCCCTGATAGTCACCTTTCTCCTGTATCATAAAATGTCTGATGATGCAGGACACACACAATGAACACAGAGGAACAGGAATCAGGGTATTTTCTATTATTAGCTAAGCCAGAATCTAATAACCCCCAAAGTAGAACTTAATGGTCAAAACTGAAACACAGTGATTAACCTTAAGGCTAAACAGAGTCTCTTATTCCCTCTCCTTCTCATCCTACTCCACTTAATCTTGGGATTAGCCCACTCGGGTCATACCTACTAGGTAGGAGAGAGAGGGAGAGGAGAAAGAGAGAGTGAGAGAGAGAGAGAGAGAGAGACTGATTGATTGAGACTTAGTCTACCCATCCAGTCACATGGATCTAAGCAGAGAAAGTAGACCACAGAGCTCCTTTGGGACACTGTCCATTCCACCTCTTTGCCGGTCTTAGACCAAAACCCCAAAATCCATTGTCATCAACTCAGTTCTGACTCATGGCTACCCCATGTGTTACAGAGTAGAACTGCTCCATAGGATTTTCTTGGCTGAACTCTTTATGGGAGCAGATCATCAGGCCTTTCTTCCACCGTGCCACTAGGTGGGTTTGAACCACCAACCTTTCGGTTAGTAGTTGAGCGCAAATCATTTGCACCACCCAGGGAAGCCTCTCTTAGAGGAAGAGGAAAAAATACCAGAGCAAGAGTGGGGTTTGGTTTCCAACTTTTAAGGCCCAGGGGCACTGCCCACTATTGAGTGACAGTTCAGAGTTTAACCAATCAAATGATCAGCTCCCCCTCCCGTGGGAGGAATCTGAGGAGAGGAGGCTAAGACATGCCCCCCACCCCTGCAAAATTAGCCACACTATCAGAAGCTGGCAATTGCGTCAGCAGAAACTCAAACCACGAGACAGTTAATATTGTCCCATGCATGGGATCACAGCTCTGAAGCTCGTTCTCCTTTGGTCCCAACTTAGTTACCACTAACTTCCTGTGAAGTCTCCAGTCAATTAAGGCCTTTTCTCCTTGACTGTGTATTTAGCACCTATCATCTTAATTTCTGAAATGAATCCAAGACTGAGAATCCTGTCCACCATAGTCCCTTGTTAAGGGTGGCAGCAAGCTGAAGTATAGTCCTTATGCCTAGAAGGAGTTAACACACCTCCAGAAGGAGCTTGCATGAAGTCTACCAAACTCTAACAACTTCTCCCTAACAAGGATGCTTCACTGACGATCCGTGACAGGGATCTTAGATGACCAAGGCTTTCAGTGAAGTTGCTATGTCGCCTTTGGTATGGGAGATTATACTGTCACTTGCTCTGATCCACCAATGGGCCCTATGTTGCACCTGTACTGTACTTGTTCTGCCACTAGGGATCACTATAGTGACTGACACGTGAGTTCCCTACTCGGCCTCTCTTCAATAACTGCAACAATTCAAGCGTGCAGAACCGCATCACTGCAGCATGCTTTCATTGACCCAGAAGGTCATTATATTTGCAAAGCACCCAAACCACTCTTGCCCAAATGGCGATCACTGCCTTTAACTTGCTTGGTCAGCTCCTGCAGTTCAGAAATGCTCTTCCGGTGGGCTCTCTGCTTCTTGGCCAGCCTGCTGAGCATTAAAATTTGCCCTGAAGCTAAGCAATTCAAGCCACATGATTTAAGCTTCTCTTTCAGCTAATTAGATATTGTTCTACAAATTAGGCTGTTCTCTCTGAAAGATGAGCAGCAATTTACTCCCTCTGCCCTCCCCTTAAACTTAAACTGAACTGTAAAACATGGCCATTTGATTGTTTAGTCCAATCAGGAGACTATTCTCAATGAGAAGCAGATATCCATCTTCTTGCTAATGCTGAGCTTGTCTGGGCATTCCTTAATGAATGCTGTGAAAATCATGAAAGCTTTGCTTGGATGCCTTTGACCCTTTTGAAAGGTGATTTATCTTGGCCATGCATCGGTAATCATCGCCTGAAAAACCAATTACTGACTAGCTGTGTTAACACACACTCACATTGCAAGTGGAGGGGGTGGATTTTTATTATCCCCATTTTACTGATGAGAAAACTGACGTCCAGGGAAGTCAGGTCATTTGCCTCAAGTCAAATAGGTAAGTAAAGAAGCCAGTCTATGAATCCAGCTCTTTGGTTCTCAGATCCCACAAAACTACATACTATTTGATAAATCCAACATCAGTTGAAGAGGGAGAATGCAGGACAATGCAGGGTTCCCACACCCACACACGGTTGGAGATCCCGAGGATTTCTTACAGCTCTTGATGAAGTATCACGAGAGCTTCTAGAAACTTCTCTGGTCCAAGGGACTGTTACTCACAGTGGGAGAAAGAATCCTGTCTGGAAATTGCCTCTTTTCCTGTGCAGGGGGCCGGGTGTTCCCTCATCCTCAAGACTGTGCCCAGCATTTGATGAATGGAGACACTCTGAGTGGGGTTTACACCATCTTCCTCAACGGGGAGCTCAGCCAGAAGTTACAGGTGTACTGCGACATGACCACTGATGGAGGTGGCTGGATTGTAAGTACTTGCAACTCCTCTTGCATGCACATGTCCTTAGTGTTCTAGTCCACCTAGCTCAGCACTGTCCAAAGTTCACCTCCCTTCTGGCCATGCTTTTAACCACTGCCCAAACGTCCATCTTAGGACTCTTCATGGCCCTTGGGACCCTTTTCAGCGGCCCAATCATAGGCTTGGTCAGGCAGGGGAGGGAACAAGCATACTGAGGCTGTAGTGGCCTGGCCCAGTGAAGGGGCCTAGGATGACGGCTTTCCCTCCTGCTCATTCTGCAGAGAGTTAATGCAGGTAGACGCTGGCGGGTGGGTCATGGCTTAGCTAGGCCAGGGGTCTTGTCTGCTGAAGATTGCAGTTGTAATAATGGTGGAGGAGACTTACCTGCAGGGGTAGGTGAGTCTCTGTGTGGGAAGGTGATTAGGATCCTTCTATTGGAGGATTGCATCTGAGGGAGCAGATAAGGGGCAGGACATGGACAGCCACCGCTGGTTACAAAGGCCACACCTGCCCTCATCCTTCCCTGGCCTCCTACTTCTTCCCCAGAGCTGCCTTCAGGGAATGATCAGGAAAAAAAGAGGCACCTCTTTCCATCACCATCCTCCTCCTGTGCCAGATGGGGTAGGACAGACTGGAAGAGAAACAGAATGGCTCCACCAGTCCACGCAGGCTGAAATGAGCCTGGCCCTAACACAGTCCAGCATTGACCAAGTCCGTGTAGATGGAAACTCAGCCCCTGCGACTCTCTCTCCAGCACCGCTCACACACAGCGCTGGATTTTTCACAGAGCAAAAATGAGTGTGGTTTCTGAATAGAGTTGAATAGTGGCTGTGCTCATAGCTCTTGGGAAACATTTTCTTTTCTGTTTCTGACATATTTGTGCCTCGTTCTTAAAGCATAATTGGAAATTGAAGCCGAGGCTGATTTATTGGAGGTTAAATGGAATTAGCACTTAAACATCTCAGAAAGTGAATGATATGCAGCTGCTTTGCCTGCAATACAATGACAGTTACTAGCTGATCTGAAGTTGGTCCTGTTCTTTTGGTGAGAAATGCTTTCTAACACACTCTGTGGTGCAAAAGATTAATTCAGAGCCAAAGTTATTTCCCCTGCCTGTTCCAGGGCTTTATATATATCCTGAATCCTTTCTACATTCATTGCAGGGGTACATATTAGTGTCAACATCACACCCCAGCCTATTCATCAGAAGCCTCTACGCTTCAAGGGAAGGGCTTGGAGCATCTCCTACAACAGCTGCTGTGTCAATGCGCAGCTCTGTTCTGTAACGCTCCTTACCAGGACATCTTTGTCACTGCAGATATAAAACTCAGTTTATATCAATTTTCCTGATTACAGTTTTTCTTCCTTACCATCTCTTTTCTTTCTGTTTTTTGTTTTTTTTTTTTTCTTTTTTTAATTTTTTTATTTCCTTTCTTTTCTCAGGTATTTCAGAGACGGCAGAATGGCCAAACTGATTTTTTCCGGAAATGGGCTGATTACCGGGCTGGCTTTGGGAACCTGGAGGATGAGTTTTGGCTGGGTAACGCCTCCTTTTTTCTTCCCCTTGATGTGCTGCCCTGACTTGCTGTCCATCCCTCTGTTTTCTGTGCCCATCTGGGATTATCAGAAACCCTGCCTGCGTCTGTTGAGAGGCTGACAGCTCGTGAATTGCTTTCAGTACCTTGTGGTCTGTTTGGCTCCACTATTGATCTGTTTTTATCTCAGTGTGGTGTTTTCCTCTTTGCTCTGTCTCTTCCTATCCTCATTAATAGTCTCTTATGCTGATGGGTCTTGACATGAGGCAACTACAAAGGGAGTGAGTGCCTGTCGGGGGCGGGGGAGGGGGAAGAGGTGACACAGGGAGGCCACAGGCTGGCTGGCCAGCCGGCTCGCAGAAGCCAGGTCCCAGCCAGCCAGCCTGCAGGTCAGGAGAGAAATGAGGCCATTCACTCTGCTCAGCTCCTTGGAAGAATGTTATTACCTAATCTGGGGAGGGAAAAAATGAAAATGGCATGAGAGGTGACTGGCAATTTCCTGGAGGTCTGGCACAACAAGGAGGTGTAGATTGAGAAGTGAACTAGAGTGAGAAGGTGAGCACACGCTCACCCAGGCAGATGACGGGGGAGCCACCCCCTGAAAGCCCTCAACTTCATATCACCTGCGTCTCCCTCTGGGTTAGATTTCATGGGCATTTACAAAAAGGGGCAGAGGGCAAGGCAAACAATCATGTTCCATATTTGTGGTCTCTCTGTCTCCCCTACCACCACCTTATTGAGACCTTGCCATCTTTCTCCTGGATGATTGTAACAACCCCTTAACTGGCCTTCCTGTCTGTAGGACCACTCCCCCACCCCCATTGTCCACACGGCCACTAGATTGATCTTCCTCACACCCAAAATCTCAACAATGGTTAAATATATTTGTAAAACTTTTCAATGACTCCTCATCACACCAGGAGGAGGCCAAACACCTTAGCTCAGGCACACCGTCCCCTCCAATCTACCTGTGCAGCCTGCTCTCCACTACTAAGTACCCTTACTCTTCTTCTTCCCACTCCCACCCAACACCAAACTCTAAACGTGCAGAACCACTGATGTTTCTTCTGCAAGGAATGCTCTCTCTGCCAACTATCTCCTCCCTCATACACCTTGCTGTCCATCTATGTATAGTCAAAGACCCCTCCCAGCCATTTTTCTCACTTTTTATCTGTGGGATAATTGGTCACTACCTCTTTTGTAGCCCAAATCAGTGTCCATTTTACTGTTTGTCTCTCTTGACTATACTATGCAGGCTTCTTTCAGGTCTGAGATGACATCATACTCATCTTTTAACCCTATTGCTTATTTTAACCCTAGTGCCTGGGGAATAGTAGGTACTACAATCTAAAGTTTAAAAACCACTCAGTCAGTCAATCAGTTAAGCCATCAATGATAAGAATTTATTGAGTACCTATTAGATGCCCAGATCTGTGTTTAGTGATTTAACAACAAGGTAAAAATCATATAAAAACATTGATAGAGAAGTCAAATGAATAGGAAAATATCCTCACCTTCAAAGAGTTTGCAACAGCTTGGAAGACATGAATCAATGCACCCACAAGAAGATACTACTCATGTTTCCCAAACCTCGGCCACATGTACCATTTTCACAATTTTTGTCATATCTGTGAAATATCTGGACTATCATGCACTCAAAGGTCCTATATATCAACTTGTTTTACTTAAATAAATCTATTTTGTGTGTGTGAAAGAAGCTTTATAGCATTACCAAAAATGGAAAAACTAGTTATCATGTACCATAAATAAAAGGGAACCTTAAAAATAAGTAAAATAAAAAGAGAACAATATTATTAAATGACGGCTAAATACGGAGGCTCCAAGCCTTTTGTTGTTGTTGTTCTTAAAAATGGAAATTAGAAAGTATTGGGTATTAAACAAACCAACCACAGGTGCTAAAACCAAAGGTTATGATTGGGTGAGGGTTTTTCCTTGATCTATTAGAAAGATGGGGTAGAAGATGGCTATAGTGAATATATCTCACTATATGTTCAAGATTATTTAATACCTTATCCCAAAAATCAGTTTGGCTATTCTGCCGTGTTCAAGTGATTTACTGGGGGAGTATACTCTGGAGAAGGGGAATAGGAGATGCTGGATAGAGCAGAGGGAAAAAATGCAAAACATGGTGTCAGCTGGAAGCTAGCTTCAATCTGATCCCAAAGGAACCTCTGGAGCATGGATTGCATCTAAGAATTAGTTCCCATTGGAGCAGGGGGCTGGGCTTTTGAGTCCCCCACATCAGTCTTTGATTGAGGTCTGTCCCAAGGCATGGGGGAAGGGTTGAGGCATAGGTGAAGTGACTCTTGTTTGGTCAAGGGCAATTATCCAGCGAAGGAGGCAGCTGTGAGTGGTTCCAACCAACACTTCTAGCAGCTAGAGGATGGGTCCACCTGCTAGTTAAGGGTATCTGGGCAATACATCAACAGCATCCTCTACATCTGAACAAGCACAAGTCCAGGGTAGGGGCTGGGTTGGGAACTTGGCAAACAGAAAACAGATGTCAAATAGCTGTTAACTCATTATCAGTCAAGGTAAAGCTTTAAATCTCAAACAGGATAGGGAAGCAGAAAGATCTTGGTGACCATCAGCCAATCATCTCCCCTCTCTGGACTTCAGCTTCCTCTTCCACAAAGCAAAGAGAGGCTGGACTATGTAACCATGAAATTCCCTTTCATCTCTGCAATTCTCTGATTCTATATCATGGTATATTCTGGTAGATATGACATGTCACAGCAAAGCAAGAGGACCCTAGTTCATTAGGCAGATAGAAATCAGGAGGACCCAGAGATCAATAGCAATGCAAAGTAACTGGTTCAAATCTGGGTAGGTAGGTAAACATCGGAGGGTCCCAGGGCACAGACAGCCAGGGCAAGCGGGCAGGAAAATGCCTATGAGAAATCATTACCAAGGAGGAGCTGGGCTCTGCCAAAGCTCTGGACCTGCAGGGGTTTACACCTGGCAACGATTGATTAGACCAAGGCCTGGACAGCTTAGCGGCAATGGGAGAGAGCAGGTGAGTGAGTGTAACTGTCCAGAAAGACCATTGAAGAGGTAGCCATGCAAGATGTACCAGGTAGATTAGAGAGAAAGGAACTGGGGTCAGGAGGCAGTTGCCACATTTTCTGACCTGGCTATGGGAGCCCCAGGAGGGCTGGGGGCTGAGAGAAGGAGATCAGTATCATGAAAGGTGGACTCAAACATACCAGCGATGATGAAGATGGCACAGGACTGGGCAATGTTTCATTCTGTTGTACATAAGGTTGCCAAGAGTCAGAGCTGACTCAATAACAACTAACAACATCATGAAAGGTGGCTAGAGCCCTTTCTGCAGGCTACTAGGAGATGTCAGGACATCTAGATATCCTGGACCCCTAGGGCCTGCTCTGAACAACTCTGATCATTGTTTCTATCTCTTGTTCCCTACTACTCACACCAGCAGATTCACAACCATGTAGTACCTCTTGTAATGTTTGTTCACCACCATGGTTAGGGTGGAAGGTGGTGGAGGACAGGGCAGGAAATCCTGAGGCTCAGGGCTGGTCAGCTACCAGGTCAACACTGGATGCTAGGATCCCTGCCCTGGTCCGGGATGGTCAGTCATCAGCACACCCGGATGAGCCAGTTTGCAGGAGGAAAGTCAAGGGCAGGTGGAGTCTGTTTGATAACAACCTGGGGAGGGCTGTGGGAAATGCAATCTGGATACCCCTCTAACATCTGTGTTGAGGCCACAGTGGCATTTTCACTTCCATTTCCATAGTTCCAGCCTCACTGCATTCTCTGCTCTTCTCCCCAGGGCTGGACAACATCCACAGGATCACATCCCAGGGCCGCTATGAGCTTCGTGTGGATATGAGGGATGGCCAGGAGGCCGCCTTTGCCTCCTACGACAAGTTCTCAGTCGAGGACAGCAGGAGTCTGTACAAACTCCGCATAGGCAGCTACAACGGCACTGCGGGTACCTCATGGCCCTGAGCGGACCCTAAGGGCAGGGGTGTGCGCAGGAGCAGGACCCCCACATTCTGGGCTTGAGCTGCACAGGAAAGCAGCAGCACCCACAGAGGGCATGAATTTTCTGCTAGCCAATAAGCCAGGTACACGTGGGCTTCCTTATGCCTATTTACCAATCTGTAGTGCACAATTTCACCTGCTTAGATGTGGTGAAAAGCAGGTGAAATTGTGCACTACAGATTAGCAAGTAAGCACAAGTAAGCCCGTGCATACCTTCTTTACTGTAAGCTGTGCATACCTTGCTTACTGGGTAATCTGCCCTTGCTAGCCAGTGACGGGAGCCCGAGGCTGGGAGTCACTGGCTGTGGTCCAGGCTGTCATTCACCACTTGGCGGACCTGAAATTAATTTCCCAGCACTTTGGTTTCTTCATCTGGAAAGTCATAATAGTAATAATGCCTGCCTTGCTTTACAGAGTTGTCAGAAGAAAAGAGAATAAATGCAGTGAAATTACTTTTAAAGAAAAAGTGGGGGGGCAATGTGAAAGCAAAGGATTATTTTTATTGTCTAGGTTAATCAACATGGGCTCTTATCCAGAAACAGCATAATCATCTTTTGTCTGGGAAGAAATTTCCCCTGCAACAACATCAAAGAAAACCATCTTTGAATTAATGCAAAAGTAGGATAGATTCCCCCATTCAATGAAATGTCCTCCCCATCCGCAGTCACAACACCCTAGTTATGGAGCAAACATGTCCACTTAAATGTTCCTCCTCATTGATCATCCTTCTTTTTGTTCTTTCATCAGAACCACATACAGGCCATGTTTTCTGGATAGATTTTATGAAATTCCGACTAAACAGAACAACCATCACCATAAGCTCTTTTGTATTAATATTGTTATCAGAACATAATATCTAGTCTGCTTCCCAGACATTTGCCAGCCTGCTTTTTGGGTTCTGTTATACTACATTTCGTAAAATCTGTTTTGTCTAATAGTCTACCCTTTGGTACATGTCACTGTCAGTCCTTTTATTAACTCCACCTTTAGGGCTAAATGCAGGTGTATCATTTTAGCAACTTTTTATGCCTCGTGGAGTTAAGGAGAGCATCAAGGTATTACCCTTCTAATTACTGCATCTTTTCAATTATGTCACTTCTTAGCCAAGTACTGTTACTCTAAAAGAGAAGACATGTTTTCCTTTGTGGTTGTTCATATCTGAGATCATTTCCAACGGCAATCAAATCACCTTGAAGTGTCCCAATGAAAGGTCTAATTTGCCACAGCTTGGGCATTGAAATGAAATGTATTAAACAAGATGTCAGACTAAATCATTGCAAAAATAACCTGATGGTACCCACTCCCAAGGTTAGAATTATCTTGTTGAAAAGTGACCCTCCTTATTTCTTCCCCAGGAAGAGAAGCAAGCCCGCCCACTTCTTCCCATGTCTAAACTTCCTCCCTCCTCTTCACCCAGCTCAAAGCCTATGCTTTTTTCTGTACAGCTCTGTCTCGCTGCTAGTTTCCATGGAGGTCAGAACTGTTGGATGGTGTTCTACTCCCATGTCTCAGAGGCAAACTCTGCCGGTAGTTTGGCCGATCATTATAAATTAATTACAGTCTAATCCCTCACCACAAATATTCAATTCATGTTTCTTCAAAAGATGAAAACCTGGATTATTTAAGTTGTCCCCCATCTTCAGGCAGCCCCACACTATGCTTGTTCTTTCTAGACCTAAATGTTTCTAGGGAGGAAGAGTCCATGCCCTCTGTGTTTCTGGTATTTAATATTGCCCAACTCCCCTGGCCACTATCTTGAATTCGTGCTCATTTTTACTAGCTCTCCCCATGCAACAGTCCATCCTCAGAGAAAATTTCAAGTTCAGTGCTTTCTCCTGCTCCCTATTTCTCAAGGCTACAGAAGTTCAAGTCTCTAACCAGGACTCTAATTGGACCAGAATGAAAAATTCCAAATCAAGTTATCAATACAAGATTGTTGAACTTCTCCTAAAGGTTCATCATATAAGTTGTGGAAGCTCAAAAAAAGCATAAACCATGGCCTCTGCAAGAACTAAACATCTAGTTAAAGGAAGAAACACTTAGGAAATAGCTCACCACATGATAAATGGTACTCACTTCCAGGTTAATAAGCATTCAAGAGGCGGAATCTGGGTGGGTTGAAACAGTTGGGGAAGCCTTTATGAAGGCAGCAGCATTTGACTGGGCTCTCAAAGGAAAGGAAGACGTTCCGAGGAAAGCAAACCCAGAAAGAGAAGCACAGAGGAGCAGTTACTGTGGAGGAAAAGAAGGCCATTAAGGGCCTGGCTGAGTGGAGCAGGGTGTAATTTCAGAAGGAATAGAAAGAAGATTGGCGGGGAAGCGTGGAACCAGATGCTGAAGGACCTTAAAACCAAAGAGGCAGAGTTTAGTCTTAATATGGTTGTCAGTGGTGCAGTGGTTAAGAGCTCGGCTGCTAGCCAAAAGCTCGGCAGTTCGAATCCACCAGTCACTCCTTGGAAACCCTATAGAGCAGTTCTACTCTGTCCTATAGGGTCGCTATGAGTCAGAATTGACTCAACAGCAATAGCTTTGGTTTTGGTTTGGCTGGTGGTCAGTGGGGGCCACTGTAGGCCATGAGTGGCATTGTGAAAGTGAAGTCTTAGGAAGATCAATGTGACATCCATAAATGGGATCAAATAGATCTGAGTGAAGAACAGAGAGATCAGCTACAGGCTGCTGCCTTAATCCTGATAGGAGATAATAGGATCATTCACTACTGTGGTAGCAGCAGGAACTAAGAGAAAGGAATAAGAGAAAAAAGCCAGGACTTAGTTAATGTACTGAATATATTAGCAGGATATATGAGGCAAGAGTGGAAAGAGGAGCCAGATTTGGGAGCTGATGAAAATCAAGGTTTGGAGCATGTCCAAGACAGTGGCAGAAAACATCAGAGTCGAAGCTGGAGAGAATTGTTCCAGAAGAATAATAAGCTCAAATTTCTATTCCAGATTATAGAAGGGAAAAAATAGGATGAGAAGATAGGAATAAAAGATGTGGAATTAATGCTGAAAGAAAGGGTCACTAGAGAGTAGGATTAATTCAAGATTTTTTAAGATAGAGAATATGAGTATGACTTAGGGTGGCAGAAGGTGGAAAATGCTAAAGAAAAAAAAATGAATAAAATAAGAAATCTTTCCTGCTTTGTCCACAACCTGGGAAAGAGTGAGTTTAAGGTTTTGAGATTTACTCTAGATGGACACAAAATCGGAATTATTAGAGACTGGAATGGGAAGATGAAGAGGATGGGGTAGAGACAATGACATGTTGATTTAGGGACAGCTGTGCATGACAGGGTTTATCCCTGAGGAGGTCAGACTTCTCTATAAAATAAAGATCTACGCTCTAAGAGTTAGGTTGTGGTAGGAAGCATTGGAGGCATTGAGTGGCCACTGTGAGTGTGGACTTAGAAGCCACAGAATCATAACTATGAACTATCCCATCTTAAGGCAACCTCAAAACCATCTAAGATAACTCTCAATAGCATAAGTGCCTTCACAACACCCTCAACCACAAAGCTTGTTAAATGTCGGGTCAATCGTTACAAATTAATTTATAGTCTATTCCCTCACCTCAAATAGTCAATTCATAAACGCACCCTCTACAACATCCCCCATAAGGAAACATTCAGCCTCTGTTTGCTTCTTAGAAATCTCACCACCCTCTCTGAGCAGTCTATTAGTGAACGTCTCTCATTTTTAGATAGTTTCTCCTCAAAATATGCTTCCTTACGGTCTTCGCTCACTGATCCTCATGGCTTCCCCACAGAGTTCATTTATTTATTTATTTATACTCAATAACCCATCGAATATTTGCAGACAGTGATCAAAGACCCCTTTTAGTACGCTTTTCCCCAAGCTACTTTTCCTCTGACATGGAGGATCTTTTCATCACCCTATTTCCTGCGGGCAGGAACTCTGATTTGCTAATGTCCCTCTTAAAGTGCGGCCCCAACTTCTGAACTTGAGGTTCTAGGTGTGGCCTGACCAGGACTGATGGTCCATGGAGAAGCCAGGCTGACATTGGACAGTGGCAATTCAAAATGGTGCAAGTCTGCATGGCCCTCACTGTCTCTTCTGGAGACAAAAGGAACAATGAATGTTCTGTGTCCCAGTGCCAGCCTGGAGAAAGCAGACAGGGGTGGTGAGGTAGGGATGAGTGGACATAGTTCTGAGCAAAAGGTCAGGAGAATAAACAAGTTAGGGAGAGCAGCATGGAAAGAGTTGACCCCAGTGGATAAGGTGGAGTAAAAGTTCAGTAGCCAGGCTGATGAACTGGGTAGAAATGGGGAGGTAAGTGGAAGGTCTCATAAGTGAAGGCCAGGTTTATTGGGAGTGGGCCAAATGTCCAGAAAATCCTGAAAAGGAGTGACAAATCAGACCGCTTCATGGACTAATCTTTTTTCCAGGGGACTCCCTCAGCTATCATCAGGGACGCCCTTTCTCCACAGAGGACAGAGACAATGATGTTGCAGTTACCAACTGCGCCATGTCGTACAAGGGGGCTTGGTGGTATAAGAACTGCCACCGGACCAACCTCAACGGGAAATATGGAGAGTCCAGGCACAGTCAGGTAGGTAATGCTCTGCCGCTGGTATTTGTGATCCCGAGCTATGAAGCGCACAGTCCCTTAGCTTTGTGTTTTAAATGTACACGTGGGTCTTACATTTCACTTTTAAAAAGAAATACTTACAGTTTGGAGAAAGGTCTGTCATAAAGAGAAAAGCAATACAGACACTGGGGTAGGAGCAGGACAGAGTAGAAGCCTGAGGAAGAAAAGGAAAGCATCTGGACCCAGGAGCTAGAACCCATCTAAAGCAGCCCTTGGTGACCAGATAAATCCCATTTCGTTTCCCCATCTAGACGACTCCATGGAAGAGCTGGTCAATTCCGGGCTCAGCTTCATTCTAGGAAGGGCCCACGGAAGGGAGAGATCAGAAATGCCAGTGTAAACTGGACTATCTTTCCTCATCAGAGACTGGGTGGTGAGGTGACTAACTCATCCCAATTTACCTGAGACTTGCCTAGCTTTAGCACCAAAAGCCCTGGATCCCAGGAAATTCCTTAGTCCCAGGAAAACTGAGATGGCTGCTCACCCTACAGGGAAACTACTTGAGTCTCCAAGCAGTACTGAGCAAACATAGTTATTCTCTTCCAAATGTTTCTCCACCGTTGAAATTTTGAAACTCGCCATTGGCTACTGGTACATGCAACTCCTGAAAGCCAAAAACATAAAGCCTGTTGGAATGAACCCAAGGTGCAGGTGTGTTTAAGGAGAAAGCTGAAAGAGATCTTGCTCCCTTAACCTTATTGGGAACTCAGCCACAAAGCTTCATGTTGATAGAAAATGGTTAAATTCAATCTTGAATTCCCTACTGCCATCATTCCTGTTCTTTTCAAGCTGGGTGTTCCACTGGGGGGAAGACTGATATGACATGCTTATCTTTCTCCTGCCCAGGGGATCAACTGGTACCACTGGAAAGGCCACGAGTTCTCCATCCCCTTTGTGGAAATGAAGATGCGCCCCTATAATCACCGTGTCATGGCGGGGAGGAAACGGCGGTCCTTACAGTTCTGAGCAGAGGGGAGGACCCCAAGCCAACCAACCATTTCTGTCATTTATTTGTACTTTATAATATGAAACAAAGTGGGGGGTATTATTAATGCGCTTTGCAACATATTAAGGGTATTTCGAAGGAAGCAGGGATGTAGCAGAGATCAGTGAATAGTAATTGCTCACAGTTTCTGCTGTCCCAGGGCCTGACCCTTGGTTTCCATTCTCCCTCCTACCTAGCCATCCTTAACCTTCTTCTCCTTTCTCAGCAAAGAGGAAAAGTGGGAAGTTTTCTGAAAAGCTCAATTCCAGGACGAGTCCTGGAGTCACAGAAATGTCGCCTTCTTTTCCAGCTCGCCTTCTGAGATTCCCTTCACCTTCCAGGCATTTGTGATCTGGTCAATGCCTTCCATGGCCAGGTTCTCACACCAGCCCAGAAAAGAAGCCTGAGGCAAGAGAGCTCTGCCAACAACTACCCTTAGGAGGAAACACATCAATCATGCCCTTTCTCAACAACCCAAAACTTTTTTAATGGGTCAAAGCGTCTCATCTTTTGACACCCTTACTCTTACCACCAGGAGTCCTCTGTTGCTTTTCCAAGAGTAGTGGCTTCTTTTCCAGCCGTGACTGATCCTTTGCCTACTTGTCATCCTGCCCTGAGACCTCACAGCCCCAGAAGCCCAACCATTGTTCTGGAATCTAGTTCCCAAGGCATTGCCTCCTCCTGGCCCTGATTGTACAGTGGCTGTATCCAGTGGGTCAGTTATAAGTCACTGTCCCTTCCCTTGGGTCCAAAAAGCAGTAACTTTCTTTGGAGGTGGGGATATGAGGACAATTGTTGTTTTTAGCATTTTGGGGTCAGACACTGAAGGCAGGACAGAAGAAGTAGAAATCAGGGCACCTGTCGTTGAGATTAGAGGTCCCACGGGAACCCAGGTCTTACCCAGCTCATTCTCTCTGTTTCTGGTCCTGTTTGTCACAGATTTTCTTCTGAACTGCAAACTGAATGCTCATTTCTGTCTTCAGCCAGGCTGTGGGTGGCTCAATTAGAGTCAGGGGAAAAAGTTATATGACCAGCCAGCTATTCCCCTGACTGATAATCCCTGGGAAGAGGTGGGATTTTTGTTTTTTTCTTTTTTTGCTCCTGTAGGAAACAGGAATGACCCCTTAATGAGGTGAGATCAGGAGAAACCTTTCTCTATCTTCTTTTATTATTCTGCCTTTGAGAGGAAAAATGAAAAGTGCCAGAGGAAATTACATCTAGAAATCCTAAGGTGAATAGGGGAGGACTGTGGGCCTACTTCCCCATTTTATGAGATGTGCTGTCTTCCTGAGCATGATTTGATTTTTAAACCCAGGAGAGAAAGACGCTCTAGAAGCCATGACCTTCCAACTTTTTCCTTCAAATCAAATGTCAGCTGCAACCATCCCTGCAGCATCTGCCAAAATTGGTGCCCAGTTCCCCCAGCTACCTTTTCCCTTTCCTCTTGAGAGACGGGTTCTGTTTTCTGCAATCCCCAGGCCTTGTCAAACTGAGGGCATTTTGTACCTCTCCCAGTCAGTGACTGGATGAGCCTGAGAGAGGCAATTTTCTAATGGAAACATCTGCAATCTGATCAAGTTTTGAAAAACCCCAGGGAGAGCCCCTTGGGTGGGTGATCACATTCCTGCCATTTTCTGTGGCACCCACCCGCCCACCCACCTTTAGCAGCCTGCAAGGCCTTGCCCACTGCTGCAGTGTCAACGTGACTCACAAGTCCTGTGCTGAAAAATGTAGGTGGAATTTTCATTCCTCAATTCACTATGGGCTTAAAACAAAACTAGAAGGAAGAAATAGAAACAGTCCTTTCAAGAAAACTATCAATTAAGTAAGACTCATCTAGACAGTGGAACAAACAACAAATAGTAGAAAGCAGACTGAGCCGGGAACTTGGAGACTAGAGTATAGGCCCACCTCTGCTATTTTGCTAGCTATATGACGTCAGGTAGGTGGTCTCACCTCTCTGGGCCGTTGTTTCCTCTCTTGTTGACTGAGAGGTTAGACTACAATGATTTCTAAGATCCTTTTCAGCTCTGACATTCAATAATGCTAGTCTATGATTTATAATTCTTGGTAGAAATTGTCATTACTAAGACAACATAATTAAGTCATGCAAATTCACCAGAACTCTGCTTTATTTTAAAAAGAAATAAAGAAAGGAAGGAAGGCATGCATGCAGGTTCTGAAGTCATAAGTAAAAGATGCACATACACACACACACATACACACACACAAGAAAGCATTGCAGAAAAGATAATGACAAGTAAAAGGCTGAATTCATTTTGGCTATAAAAGCAGAGCCCAGGGACCTGGGTGGTACAGTACAGCCCACCTCCTCAAGGGAACTGAAATGGAAAAACATTATGAGTCTTTATGTTGTCAATTCAGGTGAAAGTCAAGAAACATGGATGGAAACCAATACCTGCCATTTATTGAAACCATTTTACCCTATTGAGCATTTTTATAAATAGTATCAGCAGCGTTTCTAGATTCATTTTATAGAATTTGAAAGGAAGAAAGGAACTTCGAATATCAGCTCACCCAACCCTCTATGAAAGGATATATAGATTCCTTTTAGTAAGTAGACAAGAGCCCTGGTGGTACACTGGTTAAGCACTCGGGGCTGCTAACCAAAAGGTAGGTGGTTCGAACCCACCAGCTGCTCCACAGGAGAAAGATGTGGCAGCTGGCTTCTGTAAAGATTAAGCCTTGGAAATCCTGTGGGGCAGCTCTACTCTGTCCTTAGGGTCACTAGGAGTCAGAATTGACTCAACAGCAACGGGTTGGGTTTTTTTGTTTGTTTTAATTTTGGTTTTTATTAAATAGAGCGACTTTCTCACTCGTTACTGCCATTTTTAATAGACTCTGCGTCCCACTCCTTCCGCAAGGCCCATGATTAAATCTTCTTAACTTGCTCACTGATTCCTGTTATCCTGTTTCTCCAAGCAACAAGTGCTTTCCCCAAGGTGGGTCTAATAAGCAACACTCACAAAGCGCACCACAGGTTCCCTTAGTGGATTCCTGAGAAATAGAAATAAGTCCTGCCCAGAAGTTAGTTTAACTGCAGACATCATTAGGATAGTACTCGTTCCAAAATAAAGCAAAAAAGAACAAAACGATCAATGACTACAGACTCACTGCCTAGACCCGAGACCGTATTTCTTCTTTTTACATTTCCCCATCGGATAAACAGATAAGGATAATTTGCCAAGATATTAAACTCCCATTCTCCAGCGCTATCTCTGGAAGGTGAAGAGGACATTTGTGAAAGAGAGGGGCAACAAGTCTGTGGGAAACTCCTGCTTTGAAGGCTAGTCCCGCTGGCCTTTAGACCAGACTGCACTGAAAGAGGGGCCTTGCCAAGTGTGACCACCAGATGGTGCTCACGATACCCAGTCAGCTCCTGAAGCCTTGAGAATAGCTACTCCCTCTAGGTTTCCAGAGTAATTCCTACCAAACCAAGACCCAGGAACACTGGCTAACTGATTTTTACAGAAGATTGATTTCTAAAAAAAAAAGGCGGCGGGGCTGATGTGGTTCACAGCAGCAGAATGCAGAGCAGACTTCCACAAATACCCAGATCCCCTCTGTTGCTGTTAGTCGCCATGGAGTCGATTGGGATTCACAGTGACACCATGTGTGCAGAGTAGAACTGCCCCATAGGGTTTTCAAGCTGTGACCTTTCAGAAGCAGATTGTCAGGCCTGTCTTCTGAGGTGCTTCTGAGTGGGTTCAAGCCGCCAATCTTTCGGCGAGTGGTCAGTGCTTAACCGTTTACACCACCCAGGACTCCAAATCCCTTCTCCTCCTCAGCTACTGACTCCGCCCACTCCACTGCTCATAAAGTGGTAACGTTCCCCGACGCCTGATACCCTGTCTTCTTCCACCTGTGAACCTGCCCGCTCTCTGCAGACTAAAAGCTCTAAAGACAAACCTGAAGAACCAATGTTGCCAGAGTTCAGCGCCAAACCAAACAACCCTAATCACATTTTCACGTTCAAAAGCCAGTCCCAGAACAGAGCCGCAGATTAAGAGACAAAAGGTCATTATGGAATCTTTTCAAAGAGCTCCTTTGAAAGCATCAGTTGTGAAAGGTTTTATGAGTCCCTCTTTGTTGTAAGAACTAGGCTGTGTCCTTTCCTCTGGAGAAAAGTGGAACCTGTGAGAACAGTAGATGTGCCAAGCTGAGAGGATTGAAATAGACTAGCAGGCGGCCCAGATTTGCAAATACTTTTGGGTATGAAAACATTTTGTCTTTTTTTAAAACAATAATAATAATAACCTCCACCCAAATTTTCAGTAAAGGTGGAGCCATATACCCAGGAAACGTGCTTTTCTAGAGCTTGCTTTCTTGTCACCCAACCCCTATTCAGTTCTTTTAATTCCTTACTTCCATTTCTTTCCCTCCAAAGCCAGACAATTTCTACCTTGATTTGCAACTCACTATCCACTCTTAAAACTTTGATAGGTCACCTCCGAAAGATTCAAACTGCAGTTCAGTTTCAATAATCCGACGGAAGGTGGGATAATTTGTGTTCACTTGTCTCAAACTTGCCAAGTCTGCAAGAAGGGCTTTAAGATCTCAGAGGCCTGAGGTTTAGGAACTTTTTGCCTCTCACACACAGCTCCAGACCCCAGGAGCTGTACCGTCTACTCTACCTAATCTCCCTGGGTGGTCTGTTTTTATCCCGCTAACAGGGATAGAGAAATTCTGTACTCTGGGGAAAGCCAGTTGTGCCTGTAGCTTCTCTCTGGCTGTACCACAGGGTCCTTTAGCCATATCTCTGAAGATGTTTGGCCAAATGCTCCCTAAGCCGTTGCTTCTTCTATAATCCAACCCCATACAGATGTGATAAGTTCCCTCTCAACAATATATTGGAGAATTTTGGCACCATCAGGCCAAATGAGAACTTCACAAACCTAATGAAAACCTCTAACAGCAAATAGGGAAAAAAACTCCACTATGCTTAAGAGAGTGTTGGAGTAGACTCAGGTCCAATTTGAAGCAATGGCTCTGGTTCATTCTAATTGTATCCATAGAAGATTTGCTTATGCCAATTCTGTGTCCTTCAAGCTTTCAGAAACTGCTAGGAAGAAGAAAAAAAATAAAATAAAATAAGCTTTACGGAGATAAAAGCAGACTTTCTACAGATGCTCTACACTAAAAATACAGAGGCCAGGC